TACTACTACTAGGGGGGGGGGGGGGCTTACTACTGCTAGGCATACTGCGACTACTACCACCACCTGCAAAGAGTGTATCAAGGCTTTGTCGTCCGAAGTAATGTTTATTATATTAGTAAAAAAAAGTAGATACTGATAAGGCATAGGCCATACCAGGAGTTGTTATAGTGACACTATAACAACTTTCTGGCCATACAATCAATGAATGCACCTCATTGTATCATGTGATACCCGCGGTCCATGGGTCGCACCTGATCTGTGATGTGTTGTCTATTTATACTGTGCAAACTCCAAATTATAGATATTTTGTATAATAATAGATGGATTTAGTGCCACCATGATTTGCCTGATCCATGACCCATGTCCCCAACCAATGGGAAAGCCTATTTCCCAGAGGAAAGCCTATTTCCAAGAGGATCACATTCTGTGAGGATTACATTTTTTTTCTTTTTGAGGAATTGTGAACTATACTATCACTATATACTACACTACTATACTATAGTACATACTATACTATGTACTATAACTACAGTATATTAAGTCTCAGCCCGTGTCTCAGGTAATCTTTCAAATCAGCGAAAAATTATTTAACTATCCTAAAGCACTTAGGAGCATAATTGACTAAAGTAGCACTTTTTCTTATTTGATAACTTAGACATGGATTGTATTCTAACATTGTGTAAATGATGTACAAAATACTGCAGCTACCTCATCTTGGCTCACAGGTCCTTTTCAGCATCAAGGTATTTATAAGGATAATAAGGTTAAGGTTATTAATAACAATTCATTTACAATGGATAGTCATTCCCTGAAGATATGGTTAATAATGCTGGTGGTGATAAGAAGGGTGATGATGATGAGGAAGGTTTAATAGAAATAAATTAGTTTAATAATATAGTCCTTAAAGATTGTTAAAGTTTTAATGCTAACTTTCATTATGTTTCATTTGTACAGTATTGCTTTAGAAGCATCTGATTTTTATGATGTTCTAAATGTATCAAGAACTGCAAGTAGGAAAGAGATAAAACAGGCTTATTTTTCACTGTCAAAGCAGGTGAGGAAATAAGTGCAGTTGTATTTATTTATTTATTGTGTTTAACTCTAAGATGTAGATGGTGAGTTCTATTCCCATTGGGATTCACCTGCCATTTACATATTTTAAAAAATATATTATTTAGCTTGGTTTTTAACAATGATGATGAAAATACTTTGTCATGGCTTAACATTCCAAAAGAATATTCAAAGGAAATATATAACGGTGTAGTTAATGGCAGAAAATCATTATCTCATTGTAAATGTGCACAGTTGAATTTTTAACTTATCAGCTCTGCTGGTGAACAAGATAATTTTAAAGTCAAATGCCTTTCCCATTGATACCGAGATCTGTACTAAATGAATTAAAAACTTTTCACCATGCTCTAATCTCCAATTTTAGGTTTTATGACCAAAATCACAAACCCCATAAATGTTGTTTAGTGTAGTGGTCTGGTAACCAAAATGTATTACATTAAGACTTGGAATGTGGCCTTTTATGCTCCTCTTAGGTTAAAAAAAACATTTTTGTGAAAAAGCTGGCCTGAGATTTTCAAAATTTTGGTTGGTAAGTTTTTTTGGTAAGTTTCTTAGACTAACTAAATTGATGTACATTATAGCTTCATCCAGATCGAAATCTATCAAACCCTAATCACCATAAGAAGTTTGTAGAGCTTAACGAAGCTTACAATGTCCTCAGCAAGCCACTTTCAAGGCGACAGTATGATGAGAGGCTCTCAAGATTGAGATGGGGGCAGAGTACTTCAGGTGCAAGTTCCGGCCAACCACACTCCAACCACTACAATTGGTCAGTTTAAAATATAGGTCATGTATAAATTTACATTCACTAGATGAACTGAACTTGTGCAAATTCTTATATAATTTATTATACTTTACTATAGTGCACACACGCTTTAATAATAATGTTATGTAGTGCATAAAAGCTTCTATGCGCTCACGCTTTAATAATAATGTTATGTACAGTAGTGCGTAAAAGCTTCTATGCGCTTTACAGCAACAAATTTAAATTAACACATCTTATAAAAAGTTAGTGTAAATCATAACAATCATTCAAAATAGTTTAAATATACATTTTTTATATAGCTTAGTTCTGAAAATAATAGATGGTATTTTTGCACCAAGATAGTCTTATCAAATATCATTTATCAGACTGTATGTATTACTGGCTTCTTTTATCAGACTGTATTACTGGCCTCTTTAATCAGACTGTATGTATTACTGGCCTCTTTTATCAGACTGTATGTATTACTGGCCTCTTTTATCAGACTGTATGTATTACTGGCCTCTTTTATCAGACTGTATGTATTACTGGCCTCTTTTATCAGACTGTATGTATTACTGGCCTCATTTATCAGACTGTATGTATTACTGGCCTCTTTTATCAGACTGTATGTATTACTGGCCTCTTTTAT